CATGCATATTTTGAGGTTATGCATTGGCTGTGGTCCTATAATCTTGATCTAAATGTTAAAGTGTCCTTGTGTGCACAACACCATCCCTCACAAAACCAGTTTAACTCTCTTATTTTTCTAAGATCTAATTTTGCAGGTTTAATAATTTTACAGAATATATTTTTATCCCAATACCTGATTTTTAATGATTTATTAAAACTGGACACCACCAAGTAAAGGGGGTTCTACAGTTTCGTTCCCATATACTTCATTTGTCCCAATCATAATTTCTCATTAATGCCAACCATTCTCTTGCCATTAATACAATCTCCAGTAAATGATGTTTGCCAACTTAGATCATATTTTGGACGTCCCCTAGGGGGATACCAAATTTTTTCTTTCCCCATTTTATATCCCATGTAACCATATACCCAGATGGTGGGAAGAGGATGGGGACTTCTTTTATTTACTAATTTCTCTGGTAAAGGCAATTGCTCATGATTAATCGTGACCGATGTTTTTGAAACATCTGTTGGCATAATTAATTGACTCAAAAGGGATAATTTGGAATTGTTCAGTCTTCCCAGCTCTTTGGTGGGACTATCTAATTTTATGACAACAACTGTTTGTGTGTCATTTTCTGCGTCTTTTGGAAACTCAGGAAACTGCCATGCTGACCAAAACATCAAAAGAGAGCGTAAAAGCAGTACCACTATGCCAAGGCAGAGATCCTTACAGCGAAAGCAAGTGCTCGTAGCCGTGGCCCTGCCAGCAGCTCTCCCTCCGGCGGCCTTGCCAACTCGGAGAGCGCAGCCCAAGCTATTCCTTTCAGGACTCCGCCATGGCGTGGACCGCGCCAATCACCACTATCCATTTCCAGAACTTTTTCATCTTCTCCCACTGAAATTCTGCACCCATTAAACACTAACTCACCATTTTTCCCTCTCCCGGTTTCTTTTCCTCCCTCATAGGAGCCCTGCTGACTTCCACACGGAGTTCTTTATACCGTGATCCCTCCATCTGAAACACACTTCCTCTCTCTCCTTTGCCTAGTCACCTGCTACTCAGCCAGTGTCACGTTCTCAGGGAAGCCTCCTAAGACCCACAAGTCCAGGCTAGAAGCTCCTTTAAATTCTCTTAACAACTCTGCTCCTCTCAGAAGCAGTTTGTATTTACACAGTGTTCAGTTGTTTGATGGGGGCTTTCACTCTGCTCTCCTCTCTCAGCTTAGTTTTAGTGTCTGGAGTTCCTCGCTGTGTCCACAGTTCCTGGCACACAGGAGGTGCTCAATACTCGTTGAAAGAATAAATGGACGAATTCTGTTACCCAGTCTCTCTCCTGCTGGCCATCCATTTGTGGGGTGCCTCCGTCCCCAGCCTGGGCGTGTCCCTCTAGGGTCGGACTTTGACACCCCATCCAGGCAGTAGGCAGTGCTCCTTGGTTTGCCTATCTCAGGCCTCCCGCCCTACCTTGCGGACCGCGGAACCCACGCCCCGGGGGTGCCGCTCCATTACGCGGAGCCTCCCGTCCTCCAGAAGTCAGTCCTGTCCGCTATCTCGGCAGGAATCGAGCTTAGTCCACAAAGCCTCCTCGCAACTCCGGGCATAAGAATTACAGGCTTGGGCCTCAAACCCACGAAATGAGAGCCGGGCGGTGGAAGAAAGTTGCGACACGGACGCCCGCGGCCCAGTCACGCCCCCTCTGCATTTGGGTCGCGGCCCTTTAAGAACTACTTCATTCACGACCTGGCCGGGACAGGGCTGTAGAGGCGCGCCAGGATTGGTCGGCTTGCAGGGGTTGCTAAGCAGCAGCGAATGCGGTCTCAAGGCTCGCGCACGCGCATCATCGCCTACCTGCGCTCGGGCTTCTGGTGATCTGAGCCGGGTCTGCCAGGTTGGCTGAGGTTCCCTCGGAGGCGGTGGGAGGCGCGGCGGCGCGGCTGGCGAAGTGGCTGGCGGGCGCCAACTTCCGAAGGCCGCCGTCGGGGCGAGGTGAGGGCTGGCCAGCGATGGCGGGTGCAGCGCCCCGTTAGCCGGGAGCAGGAGGGGTCGGGTGTGGCGCAGGGCGGGCGTGGAGGTGGAGGCGGCCCCGAGCCCGCCCCGCCCTCTGGCCGGGCCTAGACCCTTGAGGCTTCGTGGAGCTTTGTGGAGTCCTCTGTCCCCTTTATCCTGCCGTCTGCTCCCCAGACCCCGGGACGACCCAAGGCGCGCGCCTGCAGTAACCCTCGACTGACAGCTGAGCTGCCCCCGGTGGCTAGAGACGGGGAGTGCCCAAGATAAGAGAGGAAGATTGTTTCCTTTACCCACGAAGGTCACGTCAGAGTATTATTTAATTTTAATAGCAAACTTCCCTTATTGTAAGATATTATAAGACTTGGTTTACCAGATACTGGGTACACTAGATCACCTTTTCCGACCATTGGTTGTAGGATATTCCATTACAGGTTTTCTGTCCATTACAGGTTCACACTTACACCTCTTACAGCCAGAAAGATGAGGCACTCGGGGGAATTATTAGGTTTGTAGAAATTAAAGCCACGAAAGAATATTCTCGGTGGGGGAAAGTAATTGGTGAGATCTTTGACATGGTCAGAAAAAAAGTACAGCTCAGAACCAATGGATAGGGTAAACCATTAAATTTTACAAAGGGAAGAGTTGATCCTGGTAAACCTAATTCTAGTAAAGTGAAAAGAGAAACAATTGGAAGTGGTTTAACGTTGCTAAATAGAATTAAATAGGTGCAATCGAGTTTAGAAGCAGGATGTGGTGGAAAGATCATAAGCTTTCAAATACTGAAAGTAAGGAAGTTTGGGTCTGAGTCCTGGCTATACCTTTTGAGCCTTGGATCTGCAGTTTTCTCACCTGTCCAGTGTAGATTGTGCCTACCTCATAGAAAGTTATGAGCATTTAATAACATTATTAACATAAAAGTTCCTAGCACTGTGCCTGGCATGTAATATTAGTTCCTATTAAGTTCAGTTCCCTAGTCCTCTCAGCTCCTAACAACTGACAAAGTTGATCTCTACCTTCCTCCTCACCCCATCCCCAAGCAACTCGGAGCCTGTAAGATCTTCAAATTTGGTAACCAGTTTTCAAGTCCTATGGCTAAAGCTGAATCCAGTAGGGGTGACGCAACTCAGTCGTGTATTTGAGGAGTGGGCGATATGCCTTATGGTGAACACTTGTGTTTGAATGTTTGTGTGCCAAATGAAATTTGCTTGTTTAAGTTTTTATTTGGCAAGGCCTGTTTTTTTGTCTTTCTCCCCCGCCCCATGCATGTGGTAGGGTATGGAGGAGGGTGATGGTTGAAAAGGGGAGAAGAAACCATGGAAATAAGGGTGGCCTCCAGCAAAGACAGAAAGTCTTTGCTGGTAGAATAGGGATGGTCTATGACATGAGCTAGGAAGAGGATTTAGGAAATGGGGGAGGCAGATTAAAATATATTTGTGTAAAACCTAGTAATGTGGATGTTGTGTATTTGATTACTACTTCACTTTCTCTTGTAAAAAATTTCACCTATGTGAACCTTTCTCTTTTTCTAAGTAGAGATTTGTTGTGGAAGAGTGTTCAAAATATAGATCACAATTATGGCAAGGGATCTGCAAACCTACATTTCTTGTTTCAGTGAACAAAAATAAGGCAGCCCTTAGATCATTCATTCATTTGCCTAGCAGTTTCTATTGAGTGCTTCCTAATACGTGCCAGGCATGATGCTAGGTTACAAGGTCCACTGACCTGTAGAAGGAGCTGGTAACAGTTGAAAGACAGACCAGTGTGTCTCTGGGTGAGCACTCTGAGCCTACTTTTATTCTTGTGGAGTTGATGGTATTTTTTTCTGTAATTGTGGCATGATTTTCCATATTCATACCACTGCTTTCCTGTTTTAAATTGAATGCTAGTCTCTTTGAGCAGCTTTATTTTAATGAGCCCTAAGATTATAGTACCTACCAGTTTGGAAATGTCATTTAGTTACAGAGCTGTTCACTATAAAACATGCCCTTCAGCATTCATACATAAATCATCAGAACTACAGTTAATTAGCAGACAAGATTATTGTTCTGCTGGAGGAGATATTTTTAAATGACATTTAAACATAAAAAAGAAATATGAACATAATTTAAGTTGTAAATGAAGACTGTAAGGTAATTTTTTTTTTCAGTTTTTCTTATAATTTAGTCACAGGAAATTGCGGAGATAGTACAAATAGGTCTCATACACCCTTCACCTGGTTTCCCCCATTGGTTACATCTTACATAACTGTAGTACAATATCAACTCCAGGAAATTGACACTAGTATAAACTGTGTATATAGTACTATGCCATTTTATGGTGTGTGGTATCACCACAATCAAGATACAGAATTATTCTATCACCACAAAGATCTCCCTTTTGCTATCCCTTCTTACACCCGTTCCTCTTCTCCCCACCATCTCTTCACATGGGTTTTTGCAGAGAAAAAGTTTTCAATTGTGATGTAGTCCAGTTAACTGAATTTCCTTTATGGAATATGCTTTTGGTGTCATGTCTAAGAACCCTTTATCAAGCTATAGGTCCTGAAGATTTTTTCTATGTTTTCTTCCAGTTTTATAGTTTTTACATGTAAATCTGTGATACTTTTTTTTTTTCAGTTTTCTTTTTCTTTATTTGTCTACATTCAGCTTAATTCAGATGTACTTTCTGAATGACCTGGACATACAAAGAAAACCCCACTCTTTACCCCTGTTTTTTTTTTTTTTTTTTTTTTTAAAGATGACCGGTAAGGGGATCTTAACCCTTGACTTGGTGTTGTCAGCACCATGCTCTCCCAGTGAGCAACCGGCCATCCCTATATGGGGTCCGAACCCGTGGCCTTGGTGTTATCAGCACCACACTCTCCCGAGTGAGCCATGGGCCGGCCCTTACCCCTGGTTTTTGAAACAAAATCTTCACTTATAAAACAAACACTAAAGCATTAAGATACAGAAAGCTCATTTAACTCACTTCACAAAAGCATGAACAGATGACGTATCCCTCCCATAACTATTTAAAGACAAACTGTGTTTAACACTAACACCAATTGTAAATAGACAGAGGGACACTGAACTGCAAGAATTCAAAAACTCTAGTCAGGCGAAGTTGTAATGACAACTAACAAAGCATTGAAAATTAACAAAACATTGAAAACATGGAGTCTCAAACACTGCTAAATATGGGTTACAGGATGGGTCATGGAGTGACTTCCCGCACCTCACAACACGGCCGGGAGGGAGGGGAGGGAGGTGCCTGAAGGGACCGCTGACTTGTTAACTGGTGTGTAAAACTGAATGTTCCGGTGGGCAGGAGTAAGTGCAGGAGGTAGGAGTCTTCATCCCCCAGGGGGTTTTATCTGTGCTGGTAGTTGATGCTGTGGTCTCCGTTTCTACAGAGCCACCCAGTGAGGACCGGTAGGAGCTGGGAGGGCCGCTGTCATTCTGGCCAGACCGGAGTTGTAGTTGAACTGTGATGAGTAGCCTCCTTGTTTGCCTTGGTATGAGGAGCCGCCCCCAGAATCTCTGCTGTCGCCCCATGTGACGCTAGGCTGTAAGACGACCCGCCTGTTCCCGCCGCTGCGGCCTCCGCAGTCGAATCTTTGTTTTATGGTAGTTGGAGCTGGAGCCGCCCCCGTCCCCGCCCCCGGGGAGCTGTAGGGGTTGGAGTGGAGGAGCAGGTGCCTTGTCCATGATTATAGCCTTTCGCTCACCCTGTGGGGGCCGTGATTGCTGTGCTGGCTTTGGTTGTGCGACTGCTGGTGGCCTTGGTGGGACTGGTATAGCCCGAGTCCTAGGAGGGCTTCTGCTGGCCCCTGAGTGGCTGCTGCTTCCCGGCGTGTGTTGGTGGCACTGGAGAGTTGTAGTTGTCACCTTGATAGGAGGAGCCATAGCCTGAGGAGCCACCTCTGGCATTCCCAGAATGTCCTCCGTTGTGCAGACCTGACTGTTGCCTGCTGTCACCCATTTGCCTCCGTAACTGTAACTTCCGTACCCGGCGCCGACATCTTGTAGCCTCCGTGGTTGGCACCACCGAATCCTCGCCCACGGGTGTTCCCTCCTCGCCCCACCCTCGAAGGTTAGGGGATGCACCTCATTGTGCATGGGGCCGATACATTTTGAGTTAATTATTATGTAAGGTGTGAGGTCTAGGTCAAGATTTTGTGTGTGTGTGCTCCAGCACCGTTTGTTGAAAAGGCTATCCTTCCTGCATTGAGTTGTTTTTGCACTTTGTCCAAAACCAGTTGGATGTGCTTGTGTAAGTGTATTTTGGGGTTCTCTATATTCTGTTCCATTGATCTATGTCTGTTCCTTTGACAGTTCCACACGATCTTGATTACTGTATCTATATAATAAGTTCTAAAATAGAATAGCATTTATTCTCACACTTTATTCTTTTTCAAAATTGCTTTATGTACTTTAGTTTCTTTGCCTTTCCATGTACATTTTAGAATAATCTTCTCGATATCTATAAACTATCTTGCTGATTTTTTTTTTTTGGTCTGCTGGCCAGCACCAGCATCTGAACCCTTGACCTTGGTGTTATTAGTACCATGCTCTCCCAAGTGAGCTAGCCAGCCAGCCCTGATGTTTTTATAGGAATTGCATTAAACCTGTATATCAGTCTGGTGGAGAAGTGACATTTTTCTATGTTGAATCTTCCCATCCATAATCATGATATATCATCCCGTTTATTTAGGACTTTGATTTCCTTCAGCAGTATTTTATAGTTTTCAAGCATACAAGTCCTATGCCTGTTTTGTTAGATTTATACCTCATTTAAGTATTTCATTTAAAAAATTATATCTTTATTGAGATTGTTTTTTGGAGTGATTGTAAATGGCATTATATATTTTAGTTTTGGTTTCCATGTGTTCATTGCTAGTATATTTAAATATGACTGTTGCTTTATCTCCCACTGATTTGTCACCCCTCTTCCCCTGGGTGATGGAGCCACAAAAAGGATTACTCAAAGCCCATCTCTTC